CTCTGGAGAGGAGAAGGGTCAAGGGATTTGATTGAGGTGTTTAAGATAATTAAGGGTATTAATAATATAGATCCATCAAATATTTTTGTGTTTAGCAGTGAAAATAATAGGACAAAAGGGAATATATTCAAATTTTGGCAGTGTAGGAGTCGTCTGCAGTTTAAACAGTATTATTATTCAAACAGGGTGGATGGCTTTTGGAATGAGCTGCCTTCAAGGGTGGTGGAGGCAGAAAATTTAACAAGAAAAGATTGTATGCATACATGAGTAATAAGGATTGGTTATACTAGGGAGCTGGAAGGGACATCCTTGATGGTCTAATAAGCTCCTTTTTGTCGCTTCTACTGTAAAATCTAATAATGATAATCTCACTCTGCATGTTGGGGTCAAGAGTGGTAGTCAAATCCCACTGTTTGGTCAGAAAAGAATAGCCCAAGTTTTTGCAGTGAGTGCTGTTAACTAGCTGCATTCCTTCTAGTCTATTAGTTCAAAATTAGAGATGACTAGAGCAGATAGCCATAGAGTAGCTTTGTGCAAATATCCAAAAACAAAAAAAGTGATTTTTGTGAATGTGGTTCTTTCCGTTGACCCGTGTAAACATTTTCACAATATTGTAAACATGTAATGCAAACATCATTGTTTGTTTAATCTTCTACTGTGGACTTACTTGATGTTAGATTATTTCTGATGGAAGGTCCCAATTTTTGTGGTTTGTCAGAACTAGTATCCTTATACAAGTCTTTCAGTAGCATGGTTTTTACTTCTTTTTTTCAGTGAGAGAACTTTTTATAAGGAAAAAAATCCTGATTATTTGCACAATTTTTTATTAAAGTATATTGGTAACTACACATTTGTTTTTCATATTATACAAATAATACATTCTCTCCACATTTTAAGAGAGAATTTACAATGGATGTAACTAGCTTACATTGTACCTTCTGGACTTTTTTCATGACTCATTTTGAAGGATAACTAAGTAAAATTGTTATGAATATGTGAAAGATGGGTGCTAACATTATCCTTAAGTCATGGCTATGTAGCTGTTTCCAATGAGTTAACGTAAATCAACTTTGAATGCTTTATAACACCAGTGATCATTCTATACAATGATAAGTATCATTGTAAAATAGAATAGTTCTTTGTTGCTTCTTTTACACACAAGCATGTTTTAGTTATTGTAGAAATCCATCTTTTATAGCAACTGAACACGTGTGTTTTCCAGATAAACGTTCAAATGTCAGGAGTTGAGGGAGAATATGTAAAAATTTTACAAAACATCTTATTACACACATGGAGAAAATAAAAGTGCTACAGAGGTTGTTCACTTATGGTATAGTTACTTAATATAGTGTTACTGTGATATGGAGGCTGGAAAACAATAAAAAATCATTCTTTACTGAGTATCCCTGTCCCACCAAACATGCTCGCCCTTTCAGCTGTGGGGGCATTATAATGTGACAGTCAATCCCACTATTCATTGGTTTAAGAGTAGCCCAAGAGTTGAATATGACTAGCTGCCTTCCCTCTAGTCTTACACTGCTAAATTAGGGACAGCTAGCACAGATAGCCCTCGTGTAGCTTTGCGTGAAATTCAAAAACAAACAAACAAACTTTAATGAGTAAAATGCAATAACATACAGCCTAGAGATCAGTTGGTTTTGTATGATCGATGATCTGCTGCCCAGATGTATAGCAGTCTGTCCCTTTGAACTTGTGTTTACCCATCTTTAGCATACCAGTGGAACAACCATTTACAGATTTCTTTTGAGATAAGAGAAATAAGATCATTTTGAAAAAAAAGACGAGTAGTACTAAGAGTATGAGCTTCACCTGTCTGACTGTCCACTGAAGGTGACGGAGGTTATGTTTTTCACCCCTGCGTGTGTGTGTGTTTGTCAGCAAGATTTCTGCAAAATGGCTGAATGAATTTGGACGAACGTTGGTATACCTTTAGGTTACAACCCAACTTAGAAGTGATTATGTTTTTAAAGGGTCAGGGTCACGAAAATCTAAAAAAAAAAAAAAAATCCCTATCTATTAACATGACTGATTTTGCATGTTATTTTTACTCTATAACTCAGTAAGTTATGATTGGATTTTGATTAAACTTGGTGGAAATATGTAGAATATTATTTCTTGTTGTCCTGCCAAAATATGGTCCGTATTTGTTGACAGGGAAGGACATACGGACACATTTTTGTACTTCTTGAGGGCCGAATATGATCATGTGCTCTACCGAGTGCCCCGCTTGTTATAAATATTTTCACTGCAAGAGACATTGTGTGTCATTTAGTGACAGCTTGTTCCACTAATCTGACAAAACAAAAGAGAGAAAAATTGGAGATTGGTGAAGAACATTTCTATTTTCAATGATTTTTTCAGAATGGACTCGTGACCACATCATCGTAAAATGTCAATAACTATTACAAAATCTAGAATGAACGTAGAACCATTAAAGGATTTGTTCGGTAAAGAAAATCATGAGTACTTTGTTGCAATGTAAACCGAGACAAGAAATGTAACTCAATAGTTAAATATATTATAAAACATTTTTCTGTTCACTTAGAATAGAGAAATGTTTCCGTGAGGACACTAGCTGTAGCCTCTACACATATAATGATCAAAAGACGTGACATATTATTATGCAGATTCTATGTCCACATGATACGAGCCTTTGATGTTTTTCTGTATAAGGAAACAAAATGTTGATGAAAGTTAGCCTGAAAAGTGAAAAGCTATTGGAAATTATAAGCTCTAAAAAAAGGCTAACATACTATGTAATCCTGGTTAAATAACTCAAGCAGCTTAATGTTTTGGCTAACATACTATGTAATCCTGGTTGAATAACTCAGCAGCTTAATGTTTTGGCTAACATACTATGTAATCCTGGTTGAATAACTCAAACAGCTTAATGTTTTGGCTGGAGAAGCAGATTCTGAATGAATTGAGCTCAGCAGATATTCATGCTTCAAAAATCTTTTCTCATCTTATGATGTATAAAACAAGTTTGTTAGCATGCTTGTCTGGTGTGATGTTGTCTTTTTTTATGGGTTTCCACGTCTTATGCCGTGACATGAGGTTACATTGATGTGAAACTTTTGTGTCATAAAATATATATATTTATACAGCATGTCTGGCATGATGCTTTCATTGATAGGTTTCTACATGTTATGCCGTGACGTGAGGAAGTTAAACTGAAATGGAATTTTTTATGTCATAAATAAATATATACACACATAAAACCTATTGCTCAAGTAATGTTGTAGAAAAACAAGTCTTCTAACCTGAATTGAACTTTTTGTAATTGTCTTCAGTGTTATTCTTTACTCCTTATTGTGTGTGTTTCAAAATTAAATGTTTTGGAAATTAACTCTTGTTCATAAACATTTAAAAGCAATAGATGGTTGTGAATACCTTAATATTGTATAACTGTAACTGTGTTGTTTTTTCAGTTGCGAAAGAGAAAATTTTGAATATAAAAATATTGTATTATGTACCTAAAATTGTTTTAAGTTCCATCATTTTTACGGTAGATTTTTAAAATAATGGTCACTTGAGAACACTGGTTCTCAATGTTTGTTTTTCTCATAGGCCCCTTCACAAACCAGACACAATCTAGCAGACCCCCTACTCTCATCAGTCTTTGAAATATGATCCTACAACATATAATAAGTGATACTGGAATAAATTAGTAGATTTACAAAATTAACAGCTAAAACATTTTTCGTTTAACTGAACAGTACTGTCTTTAACTACAATATAGAAACTCGGTTCTAACCATCACGGAACACAGGTTGAGAACCATGGCTTTAAATTGTCTGTACACAATTCTTTTTTTTTTTCTTATTGGAAACTATTTGACTATTATACTTGTATGAAACTAGTGTTTTTTAAACATCCGAGAACATTAAAATGACATCTTTTTAGTGATAAGTGTGACTGTCATATATTGAGAGCAATTTTTACTTCACTGAAATAGGAAAACATCAATACCTTGGGTGAGGAAATAGCTCGAATGTCCAAGGAATACCGAGAGCTCCAGGGCCAAGTCCAACGAAACAAGATTTCAACTAAATGACCTGCTCTCTAATCTCCGCTTCAATTCTTCCAGTTCAATTGTGATGAATAAATGTATTTTTGTATATTAAATTTGGCCTTATTGTTTTGTCCTTTCCTATCAAGTACAGTTAGTGTAGTCGTAAAGTTGTACATTATTAGTGTCTTTATGATTAACAAAGACTTCTGCCTCAGTGTATAATTTACAATTATAGTATAAGAACATAGTATGCTTCTAAATGTATTTATAATTATGTTAAAGTATATTATAAAAGTATAAATGCTTGGACTACACTGTAATCTTCTTGATGCTGCTTCATGCTTTGTATCATATTAAGCACGTTTCTTACCATACAAATCAGTATTGAAATATACTAGTTGTATCAGCCTTTCTTCATTTTTGCCACAACCGTTAAACCCCCATCCAGTTTGTTAACAGTAAAACTGTGGAAAATTGCTGTGTGGGTCTTTAGCTTTTTTCTTAACCGTAGAAACAGACATTAATTATAGATAATTTTATTTCAAAAGACAGCCACATAATTTTAAGATAAATGAAGTCAATTAATTTATGAATACGAAATTGAGGAAAAACAAGACATTTCACAAGTACGTTATTTATTCACGACCATGGTTTCACCAGTAGAGGCATCATCATGGTGAAACCATGGTCGCGATTGAATGGTTTTTTCCTCGGTTTCATAATTATGAAGCTTCACCATGTACCAACAGTTTATCAATTATGTAATTTATGAATCTTTAGTGTAAAGACTCTTTAATTGATAAAAGCTTCAATACTTTAATCTTGATATTTTCTCAAGCCTGATGTCATATAGAAAAAATTTTGAAGGAAATGTAACGAAATAAGAGAAAAAATAGCGTACTAACAATATTTGATTTTGTTTTTATAATAGCTTGGAAAGAGTGAATAAAATATGTGAACCAGTCGTGTCCGGCTAAAAGAAAGAATATAAAGGAAAATACAAAAGATGAAATGTTTATCTAATTAACATTTGTCTCTAGCTGGACAATGACCGAGTGTCTGAGGCCTTATACTTAGATTTCCTTAAATGCAGTAGTATGTTTAAAGGTTTATTTATTTCCAGGCAAGATTTCCCTTGACATTCTGCAAGTTGAACAATAAACTGCTTTTTGTCGATTGACTTTTCACCACATGTAACAAAATGTACTGTAATGTGAATTATATTGTGTACATGTGTATGTAGGTATTACAACAGCATTTGTAAATTAGTTGTATTAGCTTAGATATTAAAATGTATAATGTTTAAACTCTCACTCCTAGTGTCTTCTTTTCTTTAGAACATCCTCGTCACTTATTATTATTGTTAGGTTTAAGGTCAAGATTAGAGACTTGTATTTTTGTTGGAAGTTATTTTATATAGCATTTTATGTATATAATTTCATAAGAATTTATATTGTAGTGGTAATTTTTGCAGTTAGTTTCAATTTGTGTTTTTGATGAAACAGTTTTTTTGGCTATTAAATGTGATTAAAAAAAAAAACAAGCTTAGAACTCAATTTAAGCATTTGGTAGGTGAGTAACAATATTTATAAGTTATTTTTTAAGTATTCATAGATGTATATGACAAAAGCCACAAATAGAAGTTTTAAATTTTGAAAGTATTACAATCAAAATTAAAAGTATGTTAAAGAACCTCAAAATGTGTCAAATTGTAAACTATGTATTTCAAACCCCATTGCTTATAACTTGTGTTAATTAAAAAGGTTCTATTTCATGTAAAGGATTAAACTGTGTACCCAACAGGCTTTTCCATACATTTTAAGAGATGAATAATATATGATAGTCTTCTTTAAATAAGTGTAGGATTTTCTTAATTACACAAATTTCTTCTGTGTAAATGATCAATAACACAGAAGAAATTCTGAAATTAAGGAAATTCTACTCTTAATCGAAGGATATTTCAAGATTATTTAAAGTCACATTTTAAATCCAGGGTTAATACTTCTTGTAACTCAACATTGAACTTTGCAGCAAACTACTTGTAACAAAAAAAAAAACTGTGAGGATGATTTGGTTAATACATAAAAAGATATATAGCTTATTTTTTGTTTTTTCTTAACAAATTCTACTTTTGTCTGGCATTTAGTGTTATTTATTTGATAGTCTGTAATTATAGGTGGTGATATGATTTGGTTAGTATTTTATTTTTTACAATTATATATAAAGATTCTTTAAAACTTGGAAAATGTGTTTCTAAAAGTTACATTGGCTTTGGACATAGAACAGGCAAGTGTATTGTTGTTTTTTTTTAATGAAAGTTAGTACATGTAAGTACCTTAAATGAGAATGTTTTATTCTGACAAGATTACCTTGTAAAGGATGGAGACTAAAATATTTATTTCCACCTCTGAATCAGTAGGTTTACACATTTGTAACATAGATGTTTGTTTTCTGTTGTTGTTGTTTTTTGTACTGGATGTTAAACACTGATGTTACCTGTCACAGGAATAATGGAATGATTATTTCTTCTTCTACCTTTCCTAAAATACCAAAAGTATTGGAGGATAAGATATTGTTTTCTGTCACATTCTTCTACTACTTTTATCCTCTTTATCTTTTTTTTTCGAGAAGTAATTCATAAATTTTGTGCCTTATTTCGAGGTACAGTTTACTACTTTGATACTTGTACACACTGTATTTCTGTTATTTAACACATGTGTAATGTATCCTTGTTATGTGTAATTTTGTTGCAATGATTGATACTACCAGGGACACTGTCAGTTATTGAAACTTTGTTGTGATATAAATAAAGCTCTACTTACTCATACATGGACCAAGAGATTTGTTCTGATAACTGTATAAATTATTTAATTTGAAAATGGGCATGACATGGCCAGGTGGTTACGGCACTTGACTCCCATTCTGCAGATTCGAATCCCCGTCCCACCAAACGTGCTCACACTTTCAGCCTTGAGGGCATTATGATGAGAAGGTCAATCCCACGATTTGCCAGTAAAAGAGTAGCCCAAGAGTTGGTGGTGGGTGGTGATGACTAGCTCCTTTCCCTCTAGTCTTTCACTGCCAAATTAGGGACAGCCTGGCATAGATAGCCCTCGTGTAGCTTTGTGAAAAATTCAAAAGAAACAAGTAATTTGAAAATATCGTTATCTACTCCACTCATCCAGATAAGTAGTTTCTTTCCATGGGCAAAAATTGGCACTCTTAGTGCCAGTGCAAGTATAGCTGGTTTACATGACTGACCTATATACATGGACAATATATATCATTCAGAGTTTGTGAATAACAAAGAAATACAGTTACAGCATGTTAAGATTGGAAAATTCAAAGAATTAGTCAAAATTTCTGTATGGGCTAAGAAACATGTCGCAGCATTTCTATTAACCTGGAAAATATTGGTAAGACTTTTTCAGGAGCTTATCTGATTAGCTGAAAGACTTCTGTGAGAAACTGCTATCTTGGTGCATCGTCATCTTAATTTCGAAACGAAACATTTACAAAATTCTCAATCATCATTTTCATGTGATTCGTCTGAGCTCCCATTTCTCAATTTCTGATTTTTCTAACATCAAAAATAGGCTGCTGCAGTTTTCAACCAAATAAAAATACAAAGTATACATAATTACAAGCAATAATCTAAAACTTGCACATCTTAACTTTTAACTTCTTGATTTGTCGAAATATCGATAAACTTGCCAAACACACCAGAGAAGCCCCTCCCCTCTGTCTTTCTCCCTGACCTTCAAGATTGTTTATTAATAAACTTTACATGGCTGATGGACATTTTATAATCAATAGAAACAGCAGATTCTCCTCTACATCAAGCCCCCCAGTTGTACAGCAGCTTGTCTGTGGACTTACAATGTTAGAATATGGGTTTCAATACCCGTGGTGGGCAGAGCACAGATAGCCCATTGTGTAGCTTTGTGCTCATTTACAAACAAACTCTTCTACGTAAATCTTACAATGTAAAACTTACATTTAGTCAGCAGAATTGCTTGACTTGTGACAATCATATCTTGATGCTCCGAACATGAAAGGAAACTTTTAAACCTATTTATAGCTTACTTATGAAGCTGGATAAACTGTAGTAGCTTTGAGACATTCTATTCTAGTGACTGATATATGACTGAACATGAAAGGAAACTTTTAAACCTATTTATAGCTTACTTATGAAGCTGGATAAACTGTAGTAGCTTTGAGACATTCTATTCTAGTGACTGATATATATTTTTTTGTGTTTTAAAATACAATTTGAAAGCTGCCTTAATTCATTTTTAAACATCCAAGTTTGTAAGACTCAATGAATATGAAAATTTTTGCTTGAATGCAAAAGAGCTTGCATATGCATTAAGTACTACAAATCCTTGTTTTTATATATATTTTATTACTTGTTATTAGCCGCAGCATGGTGGCTCATAGAAAGGTTTTCCGAGTTTTTTTTCAAGTACAAACGTTTACCTTATAGCTCTGTCATCTCTCGACCAATTTGAGATCTAATTCAATTTTGAACTCGGGAGGTCAAACCCTTTCGATTGATGTATTTGACCATGCCCAAGGTCTCGTAGATTAATTTACTCTAATCCTACCTAAAAGAATTTCAAGTGCCATGGCTATTGAGGATTCCCTCTTGTATTTTTTAATAAAAGTAACTAAAATGTAAAAAACTATAAACTTCTCAAGTAAAATAAAACATTTAAAATTTCCCAGGCAACAGCACTCTATGAAACATTACATTGCAATTATATGGTGTTTATAGTAGCTGTGTAGGAAACAGTTAACGGACATCTGCTGTAATTTATTGCAATGACTACTGCTCCAGTAGGTACAAAATATAGCAATTAAACCATAAAATTTAAAGTAAATGGGTGTAAAGAACTTTTTGATATTAATTTAAGAGGTTGTGCAAAGTGTAAGATGAAAATAAGTATATTTATTCTTGGCATGAAAATCACCTTTCACTCAGTAAAGGCTTTAGAAATTCACTGACAAATCTTTAGTAAAAATACTTTTTAATAAAGTCTATTTTTTTGTGCAAAACAAACTTGTAACATTTACTAAAAGCTTGCTACATTTTGTAAGACACACACAGTAAATGCAGAATTATCCTAAACATTAGTATGTATAGTTTCAGAGATATGGGGTCAGTCAGTGTGAAAGAGTCTATGAACAGATTGTTAATTAAAAATAAATACTTGTACTTTTAATGGTTTATTAAGAGTTGACTGGTGTTAAGTAGCAACAAAAAATGGTCAAAATCAATGCATGGGCTAAAGAGTTGTGGTCAGCATTCTGGTTATTGAAACAGAACTTTGAAACGTTTAAATTTGTATTTTTGTTGATTTCCAAAGGATGAGTGTACATTTTCAAATATTTCCCAATTTTAAAGATCTCTTTCGAAACAGAGTAGTTACAGAACTTTCAAGATTCATACACCACGTGATATAAGCAAGTAAATTGACTATAACGGAATACAAGGGTCAATGTAGGATGAAAATCACCCCATTCCAAAGTGTCGGAATAAAAAAATCAATACTTTTAGGATTTTTTTAATGTATATACAGATATTAACTTAAGTTTAAAATGTGCAAAAAAATCATGCAAGGATATCTTGAACAGAAATAAAAAAACATATTCCTAAAGCATATTTCTTGAAGGTTTTATAACATGCAAGTATAATCAGAGTTTAAAATAAAAATAAGTCATGATATCACAGTAATTGTGTCACCTCATTTCAAGGTAGTCTTAGATGGAGTTACTGTTTTGACAAGTTTTCTAAGCTTAAAAGAAAATGACATTCCTGTTTTTAGATACATATAAACTAAGAATAAATTGACTCTGTCAGGGTCAACTTTCATCGGTACTTGGGTGATCGAAAATGATTTTGACATGTAGGTCTAGTATTTTTACACTTGGGCAAGTTTAAAATTCACACAATGAACACTTCAGTGCTGCTAGAAGCTAGTTAACTTGTAGGTTAGATGTTTTTAACACTTTGGCAAGTTTAAAATTCACACAACGAACACTTCAGTGCTGCTGGAAGATAATGTTAACTTGTAGGTCTAGTGTTTTTAAGAGTAACAAAATTGTAAAGGCTCTCTCAATTTTTGAACATTTAAATTGTGAAATGTTTGCCACTTCAGCACTCTAAACCTGTAATGCAGATTTAAGTATTCCTTTTCTTTTTGAAACCAACAGAATGTACTACATTTTTTCAAATTATGTTTAGCCCATTCCATTTATTCATATATTATTACTGCAAGAAAAATACCGTATTTTTTGGAATATAAGACGCACCCTTATTTTGAAGACAAAGTTTTTGGGAAAAAAAGCTACAGTCGCATTTGAAAGATT